TTAGCACCTCCAGCTTTTCCTCGTAGCCCCTGTGTGTCACACCCGGAACCCATTTAGTAGCATGTCTTGGCACTTTCTAGTTTATTGATGTGCCGTGTGTGTGTGTGTGTGTGTGTGTGTGTGTGTGTGTGTGTGTGTGTGTGTGTGTGTGTGTGTGTGTGTGTGTGTGTGTGTGTGTGTGTACTCACCTAGATGTGCTTGTAGAGTCGAGTTAGGTTCCTAGCCCCGCTTTCCGAGCATTCTTTGATTTAAATGCAAGGACTCATGTCTCACGCTATTGTCATATTTACATTTAAAACTTTGAATCTAATTAGCTTCAACGCCTTCGACGTCTAACGTAGCACTGTAATCACCGTAATGTTGTGGTGGGAGTGGTTACCAGGGCAGGAACGAGAGGGTACGGTTATGGGACAGTGATAGGGGGGGGGAGAAGGAATAGATTAAAGGAGGGAAAGGAGAATGAGCGGGTGTGAATGGCAGAATTTGGGATGGGGCAATGTGATGGGAGGGGGGAAGAGCCTGTAATTCAGTATTTCTTCAATCCCCTTCCCTCTCTCTCTGCCTCTCTCCCATCCTCCCCCCTCACCCCCCCTCCTTCTTGAAGGAGGTTCCAACCGTGGCCGGTAGGAGGCGACAGAATAACCAGACTCTAATCATCCCTACAGAAGCATCGAGTCGTCGGTGTTCAACAAGGCCAACGAGCTGCAGGAGGACATCAGCATCAAGCGCTTCGACCTTCGGGTGGCCCAGGTGCACCTCTCCGCCGTCAGAGCTCAGGTACAGTGCCTCACCATCCAGTTCTTGTGAGTGTATTTGGGAAGAGGGGCGAGGGGGAGCTCATCTCACAACAGTCTACAAGATCCTCACATCCCTAAGTGTCTTAAGTCACACAACCCATCCCCTGAGGCTGACGAAAGGCAGCTCACTCCGTGAAGTTGATACAAATCATCGATTTAACAGATGCTTGATACCAACTTCCCTAAAGAGGAAAGTGTGTTTCCTCTCCCAGTCCTCTTCTCCAAAAAAATTTTCGAGTAACGGCAGGGAAAATTTTTTCCTAAAAAAATCTGCGAAAAAAGTTATGAGTCGGTGACGAGGGCAGCGTGACCTGTACGCACACCGTGCTGGGGGACGCGGCGGGAATATTGACAGGAAAACTCGTGGGGTAGAGAGTCGGGTATTTAGCACGGAGGCAAGTCCCCGCGGGGGAGTAACCAGGTGTGGAGCAATGTAGCTAGAGGCCGTGACAGTGTATTATGTGTGTGGCAGTGGTGCTACACTCGGTGAGGATGTGGGGTCAGGTGTGTGGCAGTGTTGCTACACTCGGTGAGGATGTGGGGTCAGGTGTGTGGCAGTGTAGCCAGACTCGGTGAGGATGTGGGTCAGGTGTGTGGCAGTTGTTATGCTGCAAGTTGCATGGGTGGCAATAATCTACGCCTGTGATGCTGTACACGATTTCCTTCAACTGAACGTAACTGTTTGGGCATATTGTAGGAGGTAGATGGTTTAGAGAATGACCGTTATATATTTCCTGAGAATACTTATGGATATTTTTAAAGCAATAAAAGATAACTCGCTCAATGAATCTCTGACCTTACTTCCTTCATCGGGAGAAATGACCTAATAGGGCTGGTTGTGACTGCTTGTTTATTTACCTCACATCTAGTCAGCAAAGCAGTGCATGACTCAATGAGTCTGATTGGTGCTTGAGAGCTCACATTGACTCACATTACCTCTTACCGTCGAGGGGTTGCCATTTCAGGCCGAAGGAAAAAATTGAAATTAATATTTTCAGGGTGGTCCGTCTGTCCGCTATTGATGAGGAAATAGTAGCGAGGATTAGGAGCTGATCTTAAGAGGCCACCAAGGTGTTCCTGTTGCATAATCGTCTACTGTTAAGAGAATTTTGGTTTCATTTCAACTGATGTCGTGAGGAGGCTATAAATGCTTGGTGAAGCCAAGCTGTCTGGAAGCATTGAAACAAATGTTACCAGAGGGAACTGGTGGTTGTATTGTTAATGCAGGGTAAATTGGTGAGCATATATTCTCTGGTCCTCACTTGTAGTGTTGTCAGGTTTCTGTCCTTAACGTACCATAAAAGCCCAGTTCTCTCATCTCCAGCAACACTTTGGACTCTCTCGGTATTTTATATTGGGCTTCACAAGGTGAGGAGTCAACGATGGTGATGCATATTGTATTAGTTACTTGATGTGAGCTGTTCATCATGTTCCCTATGATTCCTTAGGTTCTTAAATGGCATCTCTACGTTTTCCAGTTTCACACATGATGCTGATGTTATTCTGTATTCGTGCACCACCTATGTTAAGGACAGTGTTAAATACACGGTCAAGACCTTGTCCGTATCTGACTCCTGCAGCTGCTTCCCTCTTACTGTGTACTGATGCCTGCTGTTGAACCATTGGTTAATCTTTCTATTTTCGTCTGTCTGTTGCCTGAGTGGCATTTTACATTGGTATTTTATTTCTTTTTACAGAAATAAAAGTAAAATAAATAAAGTATTGTATTTTACATTTTATTTTATTTCAAAGTATTTTGCATTGGCTTTTGAGTATTTATGGACTATGTATTGCCTCTCACGAGGTGTCCTCCCCACTAAGTCACCGTCGTAATGGACCTCTTGTAGTGAAGGCTTTGTTCCTTCAGTCTCCTCTCTTATACTCTGGTTTTCTGTTTGACCGGCTGCCCAACTGCCTTCAGATCAACTATATTGTCGACCAGTGAAACGTAGCTCAACATCCCTTTGCATATTTTACTTTCATTAATCATTTATCTCGCTATTAAATATCTAACTTTACGTGGTGTCCTTAATTAATATTTAGTGCCGGTAACTGACTTGAGTTTTAATTGGCACATTGTTCAGGAACTAACAACTGTGTGTGTACATTAGTTCCTGTTTGAATGTTTAACGAACCTTAATATACTTCATCCATTCAGTAGTGGAGAAGAAAATTAAACAATGAAGTGGAAAAGATGTTAAAAGCTTCAAAAGTATGGTTGAGCGTTAATGCTCACCGCCACACAACTCTACGGAGTTGGCTTTCCACTTTTCATTATCTCGGGAGAGACTTATTTATTTTTTTAGATAAATTTAGTTTAGTGATCCATAATTTTTACTCCTAATTGTTACCTGTGGTTACAGGTATTAAATATCAGATGTTTGACTCTGTATTTTGCCTATTAGTGTTTGCTTGCACGAACGTGTGAGTGTATTACTGTTTGTGCTTGCTTGTGTACTGTCCCTTTGGTCTCCTATCACCTGATCCTATTTCTGTAACTTTACATTGCTCGTGTTGAACTCCAGTAGCCATTTCTCTGACCATCTCTGCAACCTGTTCAAGTCTTCTTAGAGGATCCTACAATCCTCATCTGTGTGTGTGTGTGTGTGTGTGTGTGTACTCACCTAATTGTGCTTGCGGGGGGTGAGCTCTGGCTCTTTGGTCCCGCCTCTCAACTGTCAATCAACTGGTGTACAGATTCCTGAGCCTACTGGGCTCTATCATATCTACATTTGAAACTGCGTATGGAGTCAGCCTCCACCACATCACTTCCTAGTGCATTCCATTTATTAACTACTCTGACACTGAAAAAAATCTTTCTAACTTCTCTGTGGCTCACCTGGGTACTAAGTTTCCACCTGTGTCCCCTTGTTCGTGTCCCACCAGTGCTGAAGAGTTTATCTTTGTCCACCCTGTCAGTTTGTGCGTGTGTGTGTGTGTGTGTGTGTGTGTGTGTGTGTGTGTGTGTGTGTGTGTGTGTGTGTGTGTGTGTGTGTGTGTGTACGTGCGTGCATGTGTTTTATTTATTGATCTCTTCCTTGGCGTATACGGGCAGCCAATAATAGGTTATTTTGGAACTACAAACATGACTGTACAAATACACAAACACCACTACCCGTGTACACACACCACCACCCGTGTACACCCACCACCACCCGTGTACACCCACCACCACCCGTGTACACACACCACCACCACCCGTGTACACACACCACCTCACAGGACACGTGTACACACACCACCACCCAGGACCGTGTACACACACCACCACCCGTGTACACACACTACCACCACCACCCGTGTACACACACCACCACCCGTGTACACACACCACCATCACCCGTGTACACACACCACCATCACCCGTGTACACACACCACCATCACCCGTGTACACACACCACCACCCGTGTACAACACTACCACCACCACCCGTGTACACACACCACCACCACCCGTGTACACACACCACCATCACCCGTGTACACACACCACCATCACCCGTGTACACACACCACCACCCGTACACCCGTGTACACACACCACCATCACCCGTGTACACACACCACCACCCGTGTACACCCACCACCACCCGTGTACACACACCACCACCCGTGTACACACACCACCACCCGTCTACACCCACCACCATCACCCGTGTACACACACCACCACCCGTGTACACACACCACCACCCGTGTACACACACCACCACCCGTGTACACCCACCACCACCCGTGTAAACCACACCACCCACCCGTGTACACACACCACCACCACCAGGTGGTACACACACCACAACCCAGGACCGTGTACACACACCACCACCGTGTACTCACACCAGCCACCCACCACCCGTGTACACACACCACCACCACCCGTGTACACACACCACCACCCGTGTACACACACCACCACCACCCGTGTACACACACCACCACCCGTGTACACACACCAACACCACCCGTGTACACACACCACCACCCGTGTACTCACACCACCACCACCCGTGTACACACACCACCACCCGTGTACACACACCACCACCACCCGTGTACACACACCACCACCCGTGTACACGTGTACACCACCCGGGTACACACAACAACCACCCGTGTACACACACCACCTCACCCGTGTACACACACCACCCACCACCCGTGTACACACCACCACCACCCGGGTACACACACCACCACCCGTGTACACACACCAACACCCGTGTACACACACCACCATCACCCGTGTACACACACCATCACCCGTGTACACACACACCACCCGTGTACACCCATCATCACCCGTGTACACACACCACCATCACCCGTGTACACCCACCACCACCCGTGTACACCCACCACCACCCGTGTACACCCACCACCACCCGTGTACTCACATCACCACCCGTGTACACCCACCATCACCCGTGTACACTCACCACCACCCGTGTACACACCATCACCCGTGTACACACACCATCACCCCAGGACACGTCCCACACACCGGTACACCCATCACCCGTGTACACACACCATCACCCATGTACACTCACCACCACCCGTGTACACCCACCACCACCACCCGTGTACACACACCACCACCACCCGTGTACTCACACCACCACCACCCGTGTACACCCACCACCACCCGTGTACACACACCATCACCCGTGTACACACACCACCACCCGTGTACACCCACCACCATCACCCGTGTACACACACCACCACCCGTGTACACCCACCACCATCACCCGTGTACACACACCACCACCCGTGTACATTCTGGTGGTGGCGCTGCCTGTTCTCAATGGCCATATTCATGGCGAGGAATTTTTATGTAAATATGTCTTCCCCCCGTCCCACTGGCAGCGATAATGGCTTATTTAAAATTCATGGCAACACCCATCTTAATTAGTCTCTGAATTGTTAAAAAGACTTCAGCTCCCCTGATGAGTTTTCCTCTTGCTGGCCAAAATCTTGATCATCACACTCACTGCATCTTGCAAAGACAGAGTACAGAATTGGCTCAGAACAACTTCCGTAAAAAGAGTAGAGTGCCTCTTTCGACACGTAGGAGGCTGAGTGCATCTTTAGTAGAATCTGTAGCAGTAAGTTCAGTTCAGATTCAGTAGAGTCAGTAAGCCAATTTAACCCTTCAAGTAGACTGACTTGCTATATAAAGATTATTAGGTATCAACTTTACTTTCCTGAATTCAAACTGACCCTCGCAAACAACATCTGCTCCCAACACCCATAAACACCCGCAACACCCGTACTCGCCCTCGACACCCGTATTAACCCTCTCCACTCATATTTACCCACAACATTCTTACTCACCCACAACATTCTTACTCACCCCTCATCACCGTACTCACCCCAACACCCACACCCACCCTCAATCAACGTAAATACACACTGCAAAGTTATAATTAACCTGTAATTATGGAGATCTCCTATCTATTTAAATGAAACATTTGATATAATGGGATCCAGGTAACAGATAGACATGCATAAACTTTGCGAATGGGGGTAGTGGTGAGAGTTAATGTTTCCATCATTCTCTGATGGTCAGTGTGTCTGCATGTGTGGGGGGAAACACCTGATTGTACTCGCCTGATTATGCTTGCGATAGATTGAACTTCAGATCTTGGGGTCCCGCCTCCCAACCTTCTGCCACCTGGTGTGCGATGTTCCTCTGCTGTTGGGTTAAGTCCTTACCTTGAGGTTACCTTGAGATGCTTCCGGGGCTTAGCGTCCCCGCGGCCCGGTCGTCGACCAGGCCTCCTGGTAGCCAAATATACAGTTGCAATTGTTTTGAGTCTAATGTCTCTGTACTTTATTTGGGTGCTCAGTTTCTAGCTACCTGGTTGATACCTGGTTGATGGGGTTCTGGGAGTTCTTCTACTCCCCAAGCCCGGCCCGAGGCCAGACTTGACTTGTGAGAGTTTGGTCCACCAGGCTGTTGCTTGGAGCGGCCCGCAGGCCCACATACCCACCACAGCCCGGTTGGTCCGGCACTCCTTGGAGGAATAAATCTAGTTTCCTCTTGAAAATGTCCACGGTTGTTCCGGCAATATTTCTTATGCTTGCTGGGAGGACGTTGAACAACCGCGGACCTCTGATGTTTATACAGTGTTCTCTGATTGTGCCTATTATTGTGACGATAATCTCCTTCAAGAGATTGAGCCTGCTCTTCCCTCCAAAATTACGTCTTCACAATTATATAAAAAGACTATGGAAGAAATGTCCAACAACGACAACAACACCAGCACCAGCAAGGCTTGCCAGGGTGAGCAGAAACGTATGCAACCAGCCACCTGTTCGAACTCCAACCACCAAACTACCCGTTGATCGCTACGGCTCCGCTGATTGGTCGCCGGTCTGGCTGCACCTGCACTCGCCCCCAATACTACCTGATGTCTGGGGTCGCCCCAACATCAGTCCTCAGAATGTTCCGTGCTTTCGTAGCCAGCACTCCTCCCAGCTAGACGTTAGCGTGTACTGAGAGAGGTGGTGGCTTTAAGCCAATATTCCAGCACCTCCCACTTAACTTTTGTATTGCACTTCTTGTTATTTTGCCTTAACGTAACTTTTCATTGTGTCATTTAAGTATTCTTATTATTTTGATTCATTGATTTTATTATACATATTTGTTTGTGCATTATTTTCATGTTTTGATTTATTTAACGTAATTAAAATTTC